GTGCGCCATCGCCACCAATAAACAAATACAGTACTACAGTGGATGTTGCCCAATGTACTCACCAGGAAGTCTTTTCTTCCTTTTTGCCAAAGTACACAAAGGATACTAGGCTGGCACTCTCGTACGATCGTTTTATTGCGCGCAGTGGCGACGCCATGGACCATTTCAAAACAACTGCAGGGTCCGGAATACGCAGCGGCTGAAATAGTGACAGGTTGAATACTATCAGCTTTCTGCGACACATATGGGCGCTTCTCTACCGCGATCTGATACCAAATGATGTCTGACAGTTTCACTGAAACATAGTGGTTGCGTCAGCTCTGACGATCTTCTTAGTTGCGTGCAGTGCGGCACCTATGTGCTGCCCACGTCGTCGCTTCCTGGCGTCTCGCCGTACTGTGCACGCAGACTTGCTGTGTGAAATTCTCATCCTCACTTCGCTCCAGACCAAGTAGAGATGAGCAGACTAGTATGTTTAATTAGCGTGGAGATAACAGAGTTCTGCTAAGCGTAGTGCGCTACGATAAAATACGCTCCTCCATTTCACACATCAGGTGCAACGCTGCAGAGGCTAGCGAGGCTCATTGCAGTAGATTCATTCACGTGAAAAAAATCGTGCAGTGTTTTTACCTCTCGGAATATATTTTTTTTGTTTTAGGCTGAGTAATAAATGAGCATGTTTCATATCATAACCTACACATGCTCACCCTTACTCACACTCACACACAAGCATGCACGCGCTATGGAGTCTAGTAAGCTGATTTGTACTGAATGTTTAGTTTTTGAAAACCATTGGAATTTTTTTCACGGGAAATAATTCTGACTGGTGATGTTTGATCCTAGAAAGCAGCTCCAAAACTAACTCGCATTGTTGCTCCAAAACACATCTTTTGGTGTTCCGAACCTGCTCCCCTTTTACTGTGCCAAACCTGCTCAAAAACGGCATTATTTGCTCCCTGTGCTGCTCCAAAACAAAAAAGTCCACTTGCACCTCTGTATACTAAATGATTACACATTTTTCTTCTGTTCACGCTGTTATTAGCGTAATCATGTACCTATTGATTAGTAATAGTCACAGTTTTGCCACAAGAGCAAAGCAAGGAATGCGATAGCAACAAATTGGAATGTACCGTTATTACTCGAACCTAATGCACACCATTTTTTTCGGGTAAGCAAGTTCATAAATCGCACGCGCATCAGAATCGAGTGCGAAAAAAAAAATTAATACGGTCATTCTATTGCCATTGGCATTTCCAAAATGGCCGCCCCCTACGTGCGTCGGCATGGCGCGTCGACCATTTCTGCCTATGTGTTTCCCATGTGCGGCTCTTCGTACGTGTGCTAAGGAGTTCATCATCTTGTAGTTCATTAGCATCGACGGCATGGAAGGGCCGACTCAAAAACTCGACGAGTGCACTACGATGCCGCTTCTAAAAGAAAAGTCATCGCGTGGGCCGAAACGGACGAAAATCGGGCTGCATCGCGGTCGTTCGGAGTTCCCGAAACATTCGTGCGGGACTGGCGGAAACAAAATCAGAAGATTGTCGACAGCAAAGATTCACGCAAAGGTTTCAGTGGACCACAGCAGGGTCGGTTTTCGCAAATTGAAGAGCTGCTCGCCGAGTATGTGCTGAGCAGCGAGCGGCACAGCGGCCCGTGACGACAGGACTGCTTTAAGTGCGGGCTATGCAGTTAGCTTTAGAAAAAGGGCTAACGCGGAGCCAGTCCAAAGCGAGCAGGTGCTGGCTAACTTTATGAAGAGGAAAGGTTTTTTTCCTCTGAAAGCGAACGGGCATGGGCCAAAACTTGCCGGAGGAGTACGAAGAAAAGCTTCACAGTTTTCAGAGGTTCGTCCTAAACTTGCGTCACAACAACGGCTACCTGCTTGGGCAAATCGGGAATGCCTATCAGGCGCCTCTTTACTTCGACATGCCTGGCACCACAACCGTCGAGAAGGGGGCGAAGCAAGTTCGCATGCCGACATCGGGCCACGGTAAAACTAGAGTGGCGGCAATGCTCCTTTGCACGTCAGATAGGTACAAGCTTCCCCGTACCTCATATTTAAACTGAAGACGCTCCCGAATGGAGTCGTTTTTCCGAGTGGTGTGATCCTGCGGGCCAACGAGAGAAATGGGTGCGCGTTGCAATCGATGTCTTACTTTCTTTTTTTCCGTCGTGGGAACCGGGTGCGTGTTACAATCAAGGGCGCGGTAGAATCGAGTAAACACGGTAACACTAAGAATGTTAAGCAGATTGAAACATGCAGCGCACTGTTCAGGCACAAATGACCCATGAAAACAACTCACACAGGACGACAGCGAATAACAATGTTCACAGCTCGACACACAACGCACTGCTAAAAAAAAATACGAAGCTCGGAGCGTAATCACAAGTACAGATTGTGAGTGCAAGCTAACAAGTGTCCCAGTTGTTTGTTACTTCACTGTGTATTAAAAGCGCACTCTTTTTGCAAACAGGGCCTGTGCAGTGAGTGAAGTGATTTTTGTAGGCCCGGCAACTACAGCACAATTGTTCCGGTGAAAGCCGAAGGTGCATGATTTTTCCCTACCGAAGGATAAGCGCACAAGCATCACCCCCCCCCCCCCCCCCCACACACACACTTTTTCGCGCAGCAAAGTACGTGTGGGAGATGAGCCACATCGTGATGAGCTGGGCTCTAAGCTAGGGAGCCTTCATGCGCGCAGGCCGCGCATACGTGGCTGCCTACTCCGAGCGTGCTCATTGTGCCATCTCGCTGGTAATGCTGAAAATACGCCATTTCCCCCTAGAGATTGGCCCTGCCAGCGTTAAGTGGCAGATATAAATAGCTTGCCGTTTCAACCTTGACCAAAGTACTCCTTTGTGGCTCAGTGAAAAACACCACGAGCTCGGAGGCGAGAAGTCAAACGTTTCGATTCCGCGCGCCGGGATCTTTTTCCTGGATTATTTTTCTTCCTTGCATTTTCACATATATAGATAGGTGAACACTGTCGTCCTTCATGAAAGGCAATACTGCGAACGCGTGTCCTGCACTTTGTGACGGCTACCTACAGCACCATCAACCTGACAGCAAAAGAAAACATGTTCGCTTTCAGCATCCTCAGTTTCCAAAAAAAATAAAATAATAATAACGAGTTATAGCCTGTAGACAAGCGCTGCGGGTTCGCACTCCATCTCGGCTCACGTTTGTAGTGCGTAGTCCACGGCGCAGGCTGCAGTAATTGCCCGATATTGCTCGCTGCGCGAGCGGTTAGGGAACATAATCTAGCAGTGATTGTCTACCGGCCATGACTCGTTATCTTGCTTGGCCATAGATGGCGCGAAAAGCGAACGTGCTTTCTGCACTTGTTGGTTGATGGTGCTGTAGGCAGCCACCGCAAAAAACAGGCCACGTGTTCGCGTGTTCCATTTCATAAAGAAGGACAGTGTACATATACATTGAACGACGACGACGACAAACACCAATGGCAAGAACGAGCCGACAGTGTCTGCATAATTGCTATCGCAGTGATAATCAATAAATATTTTTATATAGAGAGAGCTTTGTTGCATCAGGAAATGGCTCGCACCATGACAGCCTATGCCTTCCTTTAAAATAACGAACATTCGTGGGCAGGAAACTGGTGGCAAAGGAATTTCTTAGCAGTTTATTTAACGACGAGAGTCAGGCAGATAAAAATTCACACCCCTGCTTCATACGTGTTTTTTTGACATTATAGCCGTGAAAAGCATCATCATACGGCCGGTCGTGGGAACACTAATCTACGAGGCTTTCATTGTTTCAGAACATTCATAGACCCTCATGGCAATACCAAGCATGGCTCCAAGAATGTCTAAATCACATATCTAGAGCTTATTGATGACACTCCATATGAATGTAAAGGGCGCGGCTGCGGAGGCGGTGCAGCCGGTGCATCATGCGCTTGGCGGTGGCATTTGGTGACAATGCGTGAAATGTGTAGCTACAATGACAAAAAACCGGCGTGCACTGTGCTTGGTATCGCATTTTCAAGTGCCAATGCATGACTGTTCCGAGCAATTCTTGGTACTTGGGGGGCTGCTCTGACAAATATGGCTGTAGCGTGCGCTGCCGATGCATAAAATGACCATCTGCGGTTCCTTGGAGCCAGCGAACGATGTGCTTCGTTGCTTCTGAAGAAGCACGTTGCGAAGAGTGCACTAGCATGTTGCTCTCGCCCACAAAGTTTGAGGTTCATCTCGCCGTCAGAGTAGTTGGGCCTAAAGGCGACTGAGATGGTGCGCCGCGTAGTCTATGAGTGCGGTGCACCATAGTAATCTGATCGAGCACCTGCTTACAGCTCCTGATCCTATGTGATTGCCGACCGTGAACACTTCACGAAATAGTTCTTTTCAACAGCAGTGTCCTGACAGCGCACAAGCAGCAGACCACAATCTCCCGGAGCGAGCATCAGGCCAATGGCGTGGGGAGCTGGGGCAACATGGTGGACGTGGCCAATCAAAGGCCTCGTAACGCCTCCCAAGTATTTGCTTTTTTGCAGTTTTTTCGGAGTGGAGAAGTCAGCTGAAGCGAGAAATTTGAACACTGAGAAATGCTCTTTTTGATGAGACCAATAAGCCGGCTTCTCGTTGTGCCATCGCAAACTATAATTTTCTGAAAATCACTGTTTTCTAGCGTTTTCTAGAATAATTTCTCCCACATAAGAGGGCGAGACAAGTCCTTTTAAGCATGTCTGTGCAGCTATTTGAGTAGATATTTTGGAATCAGTAGAAAGATGGTTCCAGAAACTGAAAATTGATTTTCAAAATATCGATTTTTTTTGCCATTTGTGCTATTCGAAAGTTGCATTTTCTCCTAATGTCAAAGAGAACTATCCAACTGTTTGATAATTTTATGTACAATGTAGTTTTTATTACACTATTGGCATTCAAGTTTTTAAGCTTTTGGTAGTAGATTTCAGTTACCGAAGCCAGTGAACTGGTGGTGGTGTTAGCGTTGTAATTTGGCCGATATTTTTCAGGACGACGACGAATTTGTGGAGAGTGATGAGGAAGAAGAGCGCGGTGCGGAAGCGGCCAATGAATACGACTCGTCTCGGTACATCGAAACGATGCGCCAAGTTAATTCTACGCCCAGCGCAAGTGTTGCTAGTGGCGACTCTACACCCAATCCCAGCACAGCTTTGATGAAAGCCATTGCCAATTGCAACTTGAATCCCAACGCCACGGCCTTTGAACTGCCTCTCGACAACCTGGCCACTGGTTCGCAGAGTGGCGATGCTCAGCTGCCGAGTTCTTCTACAATTGAAAAGAGAGCGTTGCCATCAGCGGCTGCAACAGCAACACGCACCGACACAGGCCGCGAAGTAGTGGTGCAGAAAATTCTCTCTGAGCTGCCACCAAAGCAGCTGGGCGAGAGCCTCATTCTGGCAGTGAATTCCTTCCGGGGTCCGCTGTCATCAGAGACGTTGGCTTCAATAAACAGTGGCCTGGAGCACTGCAAGCTGTGCAACAAAACTGGAATGCAGGACCTGTGTGTCCAAGTGGATCAGGTGTGTGGATTCGATGTTCATTCCACAGTGAAAGCTGTTACAAGGGTCGCGTGCGCCATATTTGTCCGTCGCCACCGGTGTCCGCAACCACTATAGCGCAAAATAAGAAAAAGTTAACTAAATGAATAAAGGACACCAAGACTCGATGGGATTTGAACCCAGGTCCCCTGTGTGCCAGCTCAGTGTTCTAACACTGAGCAATGTCAGTGCTTGAAACTTAGTTGAAAACTGACCGTATTTAGACTTGTTGTCGGCAGAGGAATCGCGTTACATGAGTAATTTTACATTTTAGAACAGCTAAAGAACAGTGACGCGTCAAACAATGTGAATAGCGCAATGAACTGAAGTAGTATTGAAAGACAAGCTAGTTGGTCAGTGTGCGCTAAAAATAAGTTGCGATAGCGTGATGAGATGGTTGTAGAATGCTCCAACCCATTACGAAAGCTTCAGGCATAATTCGTCAGCCAGTGACGGTCACAGCATCAAAATATTGCAAGAAATTCCTTGAGAGTGTGTAGCGAAGTACCACGCTTCTCTGAAAAAGAATGACCCTGCAAGTGTGCCTGTAGCAGTTACCCAAAGCGTGTGTAAAAGAGGTAAAAGGCCACTCTTCCAGTTTTCACTGTGACTAGGCCTGGCGTTTTTTTGCCTCAGAATTGGAAAAACGAAAGCTTGCTTAGCATGAAGCATTGACAGGGATGGTGTTTTCATTAGACAAGGATAAATGCTAAGCTTTATACATTGATTGGGCCTTCAATGTTGTAAATATGTGCTTGCTGATAAATTTAATAGCGAGCATGGTGTCATGCACGTTGTGTTGACAGTGCCTTGCTTGCAGATCTTCAGGATACAACTTTTGTTTGCAATAGGTTTAGAACACTCAATCTTGTTTTACTGCATACAGTTCTTAGTGCGGATTGTTGTGATTTGTTGGTTTTTACTTTGCAACTCTCTGAGGCTAGGAAAAATTTAGCTTCTAAGGAGCACATTAAATGTGCGAGTTTAAAAGCTTCACGCTATACCAGGAAAGTAACAAGCCCTGCAACTCTCATCAAAATCTATCGTGAATTTCTAAGGAAGAAACGTGACTAATTTCTGTGCCATGGGAATTGTGTGTCATCTCTGGGTTTTCACATTGCAGTCGGCAGAGTATTTGGAGGAACGGGACGCCCTGCTCGAACGATGCGAGATGCTTACATACGAAAACGCTCGCATCAAGGAGCAGTATGAGAGTGCCTTGGACTGCAACATGCAGACGAACAGTAAACACACCGTCGAAACCAGCAAGTACAAGGAGAAAATAGAAGAGCTGAACAAGGAACTGCAGGCAAGTTTGAAATACATCTGGCTATCCAGTTTTTTTTTTTTCCTCGATGCATCGGTTTTCAGAATGCAAATGATAGTATGCATGTCAGTAGCAGTATGTCACAAAAGTGCAGGTGAATCCCTTCACAAGAGAAATGCACTTGGGAGCAATTATATTGTATTTTATAAAAGGTGTCTCGCTAAGCAGGATATAGAGCATTTTCTTATCAACCTATATTTCATCGGAGGTGCACATGCCTCTTATACTTAACTCTCTTATAAAGGGGTTCAACTGTATTTGCTTGGTAGATTAAGGGGGGTTCTACTTTGGCTTCATGATGCCTGACATGTTAGGATAAACGTGCAGCACAGCACATACCGTATTTACTCTAATGTAACACGAGTTTTTTTTCCAGATTCTCTCCATTTAAAGTCGACCCTCAAGTTGCAATGGAATACCTTTTTTTCTTTCTGGATGGAGTGAAGCTGCGCTTCACGCTTAAGTTAAGTAAACATGTTTGGAAAGGCTAAGAAACAAGAAAATGACAACACAAGATTTAAATAGTTTGCCGTATGGGCCGCACTGCACATTTATCCTAATACAGTGAACTCTCGCTTGAAGAACTTCAGGTGATAGTAAAAGCCGGAATATAGGTCAAATCACATTATAAGTCGAAACCCCCAACTCTGAATCTCCAAAAAGAAATTTTTTAAAATCGCAAAGTGTCACGGTGCACTCTTTCCTCGATAAATAAATATGTGACACAACCAGCTGCACTGTGGTGGCGTTCCTTTATATTTCTACGCTAATCTTATGTAGTTAAACGCCAGAAGGCCACAAAGTAGTGTCACTCAGACTCGTCCGAACTTGAGTCCGACGACGTCTGTTTCTCACTAGTTACGTCCTCTGTTCCATCCCAATGCAATGCTGATGCAGCATTTGCGGAAAGCCTTGTGCACCATCTTTTCCGAGAGAGATTTCCAAGCTGACGACACTTAGCCACAACGATTGCGAGCGGTGGACGTTGTAGCCTGCCAGCGAGGGTCCTGTGATTGTCGCCCAACATCCACTCGTTGTAGAGCTCGTGTACGTGATCTTGAAGCGTTTATTGAGCACTGCGTCCAGTGACTAGAGGATTGATGTTAGTTCCCTAGGGATCATGACAAGGTCTGTCTTTCCATCAGACAGGGCGCCCATTACATTGGCCGTGAGGTGGTCTCGAAATAAGTCAAGCACCAACATGCTCGGTTGCTGAAAAAGTGCACAGAGTCACCAATTCTGCACAAGTCGGATCCACTCAAGCATGAGGAACTTGTTCATGAACCCTTTTTCGTTTGCTCTCATGATAACATCCCGGGAAAAGTCTTCTTTTTGTAGCCTTTTTCTCTTGAAAGTGACATGAGGAGGCAGCTTCGTTTCATAGGCTGTGCACACGAGCATCACAGTAAATCACGTATGCTCGTTGCCCATTGTCAAGAGCATCGCTTGCTTGGATTCTTAGCGGTCACAGTCTGGTTCGAAGGCATATCGAACCAGATCGGAGTTTCGTCAGTGTTGCCCATGTAGCAATGCTGTCAACGAAGCCCTATGACGAAGGGCTGATACTCGACCAGCTTTTTATCGAAATCTTGGGGCAATTTTCGGCACATGCTTCAGAGCAAATGCCTTCCCCTTCATAAATCGACGCACCTGCGATGGAGCATTGTGCTCTCGTGAGCCCAGAGTCTCGCACTATCTTGATAGCTTTCAAGCCGATGCACTACCCTGTCACGGGTAGGGCCCTTGCACGCAACTCCCGGACAAATTTTGCAAGTAGTGTTTCCAGTTCGAGGTGCACTGCAATCCGCCCGCGAAATCGTTTTTTTTTTTAAATTGCTGCAGGGTGTGATGCGTTGCTTTTGGCTCCTCCAGTATCGGATGCTTTACCCCTATGCACCGAATTGCTGTTGTGTCGCCTAGTTGCCGCGCGCTTCAGCATACTCAACTTTTTTATTAATGTCTATCGTAAACTGCCATCGGCTAGCACTCATTTCTGACGGAAATAAAAAAAAAAGAAAACAGCAGACTGACAAAGATAACCAAAGCAAAATGGCGTTGCTAGTATACTGTCGGCCTTGCCTAGCCTAGCCTTGGCTAACGTCGCTGCTGCTAATGCTCACGATGGCAGTGGAAGCTTTTGACTTTAGCTCCCCGTTGTTGGGAGACTTCTACATTTTTTTTGCCAATGACCATATATAAGATGAAAGTCGACTTTTCATCGCATTTTTTTTTCCGAAAAATAAATCCACCTATATTTCTATTTTTACAGAAGTTCACTCGACTGAAAGTTTAAACAATATTTACTGTAACATGGAACAGCATTGATCATAGCAGATATCGGATCAAAGGTTGAAACGCAGTTTATTTTTAGATATTTTTTGCCATTTTTATTTGGAGTGGTGGCTTCGAAGCACAGGATGAAACAAAGCTGTCCTGAGAGTTTACGTTTCCGTGCACTCCCTCTGGCACGGCTTGCTGCTGCGACACGAAGTCTTGCAGCTTTTCAATATATCTGGCAGCCTCGGTTGGAGATAAAGGATTTGAACCCATCTCAGCATTACCACTTTTTCATCGTGCTTTTCTTTCTTCGGTTCCAAACAAACTATGGTATCAGTTTCCAAATCTGAGAGTTATGCACAGGTGCTGAAGAGCACGAGGCTCGCTTTCGTCATCGAAACGGTTGCTTTCCCTTGGCAGCCCTGCATGCACAAACTGTGTTACACTGCGGCTGATAAATGGGCGATTTTGGGGAAGCGTGAATCTGCTACACCATTGCTGCACAGGGCAAAACTTCATTGAATTGATCTCGATAACGAGCCCAGAGCAGTAGAATAAGTTTGTTAAACTGAAATATTCCCTATTCAAAAGTTCTTCTTCCAAAAAGGTTTTTGCATAAAATTCATAGGAAAACAGCCAGGGATTTTCAGAAAATTTGTTACTCTGAAATATCTGTTAAACAGACGTTTGCACTGTTGTATTTGTCGTAAAATGGAAACAAAACCGCCGCTTCTGAGGAACTAATTGAACGAGCTGTGAACGACCCTCGGCAAAAAGGCACGAAAGGGGCAACTTGGGGAAGACGCATTTCGGGCCAGCAGCGGCACTCTTAAGAGACAAGCGGTCCAGATAGAGGGGAGCGCGTCCTTGTCGTCGCCGTACCTTTACGAGCTACATGACTACCGTGGAAGAAAGGCTTAAGGCCGCAGGGATCGACTGTGTTAGCTACCCGAGTTGCCGGAAAACGTTGCATGTGTGGGGTGCAGAGAAAACTCTTTTTGACTATATTGTAGTGTTGTGCGTTTACACCAGATGGCCTTCTGAGTCATTGGACTCACAATAGATGGCGCCATTGCGCTCGTGCGTATATAAACGATACTCACTGATTAAACTGGATTTTGTCATGGATCGTACAGTGGTGTAGCGTGGTTACTTTCACATGTCGCCGTGCCGGCTACACGACATTCTGGCGACGAGGATGGCTTCCACGGGTATTTTGCCACCTCCTCCTTTCCTGGCCACCCCCGGCACGCCTGATGTGCCATGGGCCCGATGGTTACGACTGTTCGAAAGGTTTCTGCTGGCGTCCGGAACGAACGAGCTACCCGCACCCCGTCGCCGAGCCCTCCTGCTGCACTGTCTTGGGACGGAAGGACAGCGCATTTTCGACGCTCTTCTACCTAGTACGACGCAAACCAAGGCAGAGACGAGTGCTGCACCCGGTGTCACGGCCACGCCAGATGCCGCCGCTGGAATCATCGGAACCACTGCACCTACTGGAACGCAAGGCATAACCACGGGAGCCCTACGCCCACCCGACGAGTACGACGTAGCCGTTGAGATGCTTTCGAAGCATTTCGTCGCCCTTTGCAGCATCCGCCTTCAACGCCATAGATTCCGGGAGCGTCGTCAACTGCAGGGTGAGCCCATCACTGATTTCGCCGTAGCGATTCGGGAGTTAGCAGCTCTTTGCAATTTCGCCACTCAAGCGGACGAAAACCTGTGTGAACAGTTCGTAGCAGGCGTCACGTGCCCGCGGCTACGAGAGCGATTGCTGCTGGAGGGCGATAACCTTACGTTCGATCATGCTGTCGAGGTAGCACGGCTTGGTGAGCAAACCCAGCGCGAATCCGAAGCCTTCGCCAATCCTGTGCAGCGCATTCAGCAGCAGTTGCGAGACAGCTCAGCCAGGCACGATCGACGAGATAATGGCGATAATGGCAGATGCCTCCAGGGCCGTCGCCACTTCAGCTGCTCACGCGCGTACAGCACACCTTCACCTGATATGAATGCCGCCGCCGCTGCTGTCTCCGGGCCTAGAAATGTAAATGCCTGCAGAAACTGCGGCGCAGCACGGTGTTCGCCTACGGAATGTCCCGCGCGCGGTCGCACATGTTTTGCCTGCGGACGCCGCGGCCATTTTAAGAGCATGTCGCAGCTACCGTCACGGCCGAGAAGGGTATTCTGCAGAGGTCCAGGAAATCGTTCCGGAAGAGGATGCTACCAGTGTCATTAGCATCTTGGCGGTCCGTACTGATAAGAGCACAGGCGTCTACGTGGATGTCAATGTCTCGTCAGTTACCGCGACGACACGGGCGCATACCATGAACTTTTTGGTGGACACAGGCCCGGCCGTGTCTATTATGGGTGAGCACCAATTCCAAGGCTTGTTCGCAAACGCAGTACAACTGACAAGTTCCCATCTTACATTGCTGGATTTTTCGCGCAGGAAGATTCCCGTTCTCGGGTCATTTCACGCCATAGTCGCATACAAGGGGAAAGAAGCCATTGTAACTTTTCATGTTACGCCATGTGGTACATCTCTCCTTGGCCTGGATGCTGTTCAAGCCCTTGGCCTTCGCATCATGGGAGAGGAATTGCGCTGCCTGCAAATGTCCACGTAGGAATGCCGAGAGCTTCCAGCAATGAGTTCAGGCCTTCCCCAAAGCCCCAGGCATGAAAAACCCCTTGGCCCTCCCAAGTTT